TCGGTTCGACATCCATGCAGTTTTTGAGCTCTGCAGTGGATTTTTTTTTAACAGCTCAAGGGTCGAGGAACACACTAAAAACATAGATCAGCACGCGTATTTTAAGTAGAAACACTAAACCTGGAGTTCAAAGGTTTTCCTCCGACAGCAGTGATGAATATACACACACCTTCCTCTCCACAAAACACAGCCACATCATCTGCGTCACTGAACTCCAAACAGTGAACGCAGGCGGACATGGTGGTGCATTCTGTAGGTTAAAGCCATAAGAACAACTGGTTAATGAAAATCTTTGTTTCTCCTTCATCAAACTAACTTGCTAGGGCCAGTTTCACATCCCTCACTCCTGAGTTCAGACAAGTCACGTCTTTTTTATTTTTATTTTTTTTTGTCATTAAAGCTTGAATGTCTATTTGGTTTTTCATCAGAGTATTAGAGGTATGAGTTAAAGCCCCTCGTCCTGAAGCGGGACGGAGGAAATCAGAAAGCGTCTTTGAGAGCAGAGGAGGAGACATGAACGGAGGAAATTCACTCAACGGGACGGAAATGTTGGATTTTAAACCAAAACGCGGGGCAAAAGCTGTGAAATGTGACAACCACTGACCAGTTTAACCAGTTTGGAGTGTGTGAGACTGAGCTGGGTCAAACAGTTGGTATTTCATAGTCACATTAATTTACTTTCCAGCACACCAGACCATTGAAGCTACGTGAAATGTCCTGAAGCGGCGAAAAGGATCCACTTGGACTGGGTTGCACAGGCGTTTCATAAAACCCATCACTAAATTTAAGTCCTTCTGAGAAACTAGCTAGTGATTTACTAAATCAGGTAGCACCATAAGAAGAGATGTCTTAAAGACTTCTTTAATGAGTAAATTGGCTGTGAGTAAACATCTGTAGCGTGGTTTAATCAGGCTCAACATAACAGTGTTATGGGCCTTTTCTATATATCAAACATGACGGCTAATCCTTTGTAAATGTATGACTTTGTTTTATTTATATCCACATATGTGAAGAAAGTTTTGAGTTTATATTCAATTAAATTAAATAACGCTTTTTTTTTAATGAGCGATGGCTATAGCGTTCTTCTTCTTCTTCTTCTTATATTATTTTTAAAAGCATTTTGATCACTTGCCAGGTCAGCTGTGTCCACACTGTATGTTAGCATATTACCAAGCTAACATTAACTTTACCCATTAACGTTAGTTCCTTTAGCACCTGGCAGTTACTGGGTGTAAATATTTACTGACAACTAATCTCTATTAACTAGTTTGTGTGCAACCGGATTTAATTTAGTCACGTGTGAACAGTAAACACTGATGTTCTAACTGAGCGAAGACCTGGTGAACTCAAAATGGATGAAACCTTTTCTCCACCCATGTTTGATCCATAATGAGAAACCCAACGTTATAAAAGCTCATTTCAAAGAAATCAGTGCTATAGTGAAGTAAACATTACTGACTGAAGATTATAAAACAGTAACACACACTCCAGGTTTTGCGTGATATGGGAAACAGGGGACAGTGAACTTCAAGAGACACATTTCTCACGAAGCCAGTTTAAAAACAGCATTTTCCTCCGTTACAGTTTCCCTGCTACTTTCTCTCTCTGTCTCGGGTTACAACAGTCTTTAGGTTTGGTTTTGCTTTGAAACATTCGTTTGGCATCTTCTCTTCTTGTCTTGATCTCAAGAACACCCCTCTCTGCAGATACAAGCCTCACAACAACCCCTGAAAAACTATTACAAAGATCCAGAAAGACATAAATAGAATCCAATAAATACATAAATAAAGAATCAATAAATAAACAAGGTGAGAGACAAAGAAGTTCATAAAATACAAACGGACCGTTTTTCCCATCCCCGAAAAAGCACACACCTCCCCTCATACAATAAATACAAATATTTTTTTCCAACAAAGAGCCCGTGAGAGATAAAGAGTTTTAAAGCTTTTGGTTCTTAAATCAAGTCATCGTCTTCGGTCGTCATCAGCAAAGGATAGTAGTCCCAGCCTTTTTATACATCAGCAACAAGTAAGAGCAGTTGAACATATATTATTTTCCCCCTACAAAAACCTATAAGAACTAATGGATACATTCCCTCTAAAAGTAGACGTTAACAGCCTTTAATCTGTCTCGGACGTCAGCACCACCCGCTTCCCTCCCCATATCATCTTCATCATTGGTTGCCTTCAGTGTCTGTGTGTGTTACATTAAAGCTCAACTCCGTTTTCAACCTGGGCCGTGTCTTTGTTCTTCCATGAGAGACATCACCAACTGCTACACTGCAGAGCTATTTAAAGGAACTCACCGGTAGATTTGCATGTTTTATCAATCTTTATTGGTGATCATTTATCAAAGTTTTTAGATATTTTCCCGTATTCCAGGTCACCACTGGTTAGCTTTGATTATGATAAAGTAAATGTGATATGAAAATCTACTTCGCTTGACTTGGAAATGCATCACACTGAGGGTATTTGTGAGCAATTATTAGCTGATGTCATTAAACTTTCCTTCTCCGTTTGCTTTAAAACTCAGCTCTAAGTGGCCAAAAGAAACAGCAACATGTATTAACACCTCACTCACACTAAAGAAACATCTGTTAAAAAGATATGAACGACAGCTACAGTACAGTCAAGCTTCAGAAGCTGGCTGCTACCTAAATAAATAAAATGTGATCTGATCATAAATAAACTACAAAACTGAGCGTTTTACAAGGTGACGAATGGGTTGAAGCTGCTTTGGAGTTGATATTCTGGACTTTCTTTCTGTATCGCTGCACCCGGAGCAGCGGGAGGGAAAGTTGGAGGCTCTAAGCCTGATGGGAAAACAGGTCCAGGTTGAAAACGACCAGAGTTTAGCTTTTAAGCATTGAGCGATATTATTTTATCCATCGTGTTTCAGCGACAGAAAGTGTGTGTTGTGTGTTTTTTACGGTTTGGTTTGTATGCAAGAGAATTACCTTTATACCGACACATGCTCACACACTCATACATGCACGTATACGCACACACACATACACACACATGCACACGCGTCAGCTGAGCCACTCGTACAACTTTGTGCATTGGTTTGGTTGTTCTATTTGGTATGGTTGTATGTCTAAAAAGTTTAGCTTTTGGTTTTCAGTTTTGGCTTTTTCACAACATTCTGGATCAACTAAAAAACGTTTTTTTTTTTTAAGTCTTGGAAGCTACATTTTCACAGCTATTTCCAACCATTAACAAAAATAAAAACCCAGAGCACAACCGAAGAGACAAGAAGATATGAAAATAGGCAACACGTCGCCCAACCCGCCACCTCCCCGCCCCCCCGCCCTCCCTCCTTCCCGCCGCATAATAAGTAGAAAGCAATGAGACAAATCCATACATCATTAACAGACACACTATGGAAAGCAAAAACAAAAATATATATATTCTCAAAGTCAAAGTTTGTTGAGGTTATTCCATATTTTATCCTTCCAGGAAAAAGAAAGTGAGAACAAAGCCGAGGTCGCTGGCAGAGGGTGGGAGGGAACGATTTCTGTCTGTCGATACAAGAACAGCAATCACAGCTAAAGACGAACAGACAGACAGGGCCTTACTCCCCCCTTTTCTCCCCTCGTCCTCGTCCTCCCCCTCTTTGTTTGTATTTGGTTTAGTTACGGTTCAGTCACTCATACATAACTAGTAGCAGTAGTAGTAGCTTTTGGTTTTGGGTTACTTTTTGGTTTTTTGGTCCGCTGCTTCAAGCGCACCTCCTCCTGCTCCTCTTCCTCCTTCTTCTCCTCTTCTTCTTGCTTTCCCCCTGCAGCTTTTCATACCTTTGGCTCCTCCGCTCCTGACCGCTTCTCCTTCTCCTCCTCTTCTTCTTCTCCTCTTTTCTTTTGGCCCTTTGATCTGATCTTTGGAGACAAAGGAGAGGGGCAGATGGGAGGGAGGGATGGAGGGCAGGGGTTTGGGGGCAGTAAGGGGAACGCCGGTGCTTCACCTCTTTCTTTTGTTCTTTTTTTTTTTGGTTTGGACTCTTTCTTATGCTTGTAGTGTGTGTGTGTGTGTGTGTGTGTGTGTGTGTGTGTGTGTGTGTGTGTGTGTGTTTTTTTTCCTTTGACACTGCTGAGGTTTTGTCTGGACACTCGTCTCCCGGGCGAATCCAGAGACAACGCTGCCAGAGGCGATGCTTTGGTATCCAAGAGTGACTGTCTGGTGGTAGATGAGCAGTCTGGAAGATGACATGATGATGGTATGGGGTGATAATAAATAAAAGAAGGCAAATAATGCTGAAAAATCCCAAGACTGTCCACATCTGCCTGTGGTGTGTGTGTATTGTTTGGTAGGCAGTGTAAATACTGTTTAGGTTTGAGCAAACATTCGAGATAACAATGGAAATGTTCATAATGATGATGATAGTGATGAAAATCCTGATAGAAATGTTCTTCTTGAACAGAAAATTAAAATGTAAACAATCCCCAAAAATCACTGTGGATCTTTTAAATGGACATTAACAGCTAAACAACCAACCGGGTCAAATGGGATTCTCCAACGCGTGTGGTTGGTTTGATCCTATTTACGTGCCAGAAGGGTAGGTTTTGCCACAGAGTAGGATTTAATGAATGTCAGAAAGCTCAGGCATTCACAGGAAAGCTTTTTGAAGTTATTTCTATACTACGGTGTGTATGGATTGGCATCTTACCTTATGCTATGGTAATTATAGTAGTAAATCCCACCCGTCTGCCACTCCAGGCTGGTTAAAACAAACACTGTCTGTTCTAATGTATGGTAGGTTCGCACTGTAAAGAGAGAGGTAGGTAGATATCCTGCATGTGGGAACAGCTGTAAAAGACTAAACTTACGTATTTGGCAAGAAATACCATAAAGAGCGAAGAATACAAAATAATAGAAAAATAGATGTTTTGTAAATCTTTAACTGAAAATGAGAACGATGGAAATCCTGACTGAAATGGAAAATGTTTGGCATGAAGTAGAATGGAGTACTGAACTGATCCTGGGTCAGATCAGAATGCAAAAGTCTTTTTGAACTAAAGCTTTTCTCTCCGTTTGTTGTTTTTTTTTTGTGTCATTTTTGGTTTTCAGTTTTTGGTATTTGGAGATTTTGGTTTTCATCTTTGTAAGTGTGTGTTTCTCTTCTAGCATCTTCTTCTTTTTTAAATTTGGTTGCAACCACATGACCTTCCAAGCTTGTTAAACAAGTCTTTTCTTTTTGCCTCCCATCTCTCACACACAGTTTCTCATCCCTGCCCTCAGCAAGTTCATTATTTTTTCTCCAGCCGATAAAAAGCATGGTGTTCGTTTCCCGATGCCAAGCAAAAACACTCCTCAATGCCACCTCTCCAGCTGTAGATCATTATTTGGTTTCAAATTTCCCCCCTCCGTTCTGCAGTTCTCTCTATCCTCTCCATCCTCCCTCTCTCTTTGCTTCCTCCCCTCATCCATCTGTGTATATTTTTGGCTTCAGAAGACTTCAGCGGGGAGACAGAGAAAGAGAGAGGCGAAATCAGAGATGGATCAGACAGAGAGATGGCTTTGGTTGAAAGGCGAGGTTGTAAATTTAGATTTTTAAAGCTCCTTTAACGCTCTGCTTCCTCCTCTTCCTCCTCCTCGTCCTCCTCTGATAGGATACTTTGGCTGTCAGTCAGGGATCACTCGGCCATGGCCCCTCCCAGGGGCGGTGGCGAGGCTTCGCTGAAGGAACAGAAAGATGCGGGACTTGAACAAGGAGATGCGGACTCCTCGGGGCACGAGGTCGGGCTCATGAGGTCGCTGGCACCATGGGACGGAGACTGGGAGAAGGGGGGCCTTGGACCGCACCCTGCACCGCTGCTGCTGCCGCCGCTGACCAGTCCTATAGTGGCCGTGGAACCGGTCGCCATGGAAGCGGTCACCATGGGGAGGAGAGTGGGACGGTTGAGGAAGAGGGACTGGCGGAGGGAAGCGGGACCCCCAGGTCCACCCAGAAGCATGTGACTCGCTGCCCCCTCGAGGCTGGAGATGGGCAGCTGTCCACCGCTGGCTGCCAGGGCTGGTAGGAGTGGAAGAGAGGAAGACGAGGGTATAAGTAGACAATAATGGAGGAAGGACAGGAAGACGGGGGCATAGAGGGAAGGAGGAAGATGGATGGAGAGAAAGGGCAAGGGTTGAGAGAAAAGGAGGAGGAGGAAAGATAAAGGGGGATGAGAAGAAAGAGAAAAAGGTGAAAGAGAGAGGAGAGAGCAGTCGGATAAAAATAGACAGAAGTGAAGGACAAAAAAGTGATGAATAACAAGTGACACATGATGAAGAGAGGTAGAAAAAGATCGAGGATGGGAGAGGAGTGAAAAGAAGAGCAGGACAAACGTGGTGGCAGTGAAGAGGATTTCGAGGGCCGAGATGGTAGAAATTGAGAGAAGACAGGAGACGAGATGGAGAAAAGGATTAATGGAGGACGAGGACCAAAAGGAGAGATGGATTGAAGAAAAGCAGGCGGGGTGATGAGAAAAGAGAAAGACAGAGAGGATAGAAAAAGACAGGATGTAAGGAGTCAGTGAACACATCAGACGCAACAGTAACGGGAAACATTTAAAACCTGGATGATAGAGATGAGGACAGACTGCAGAGTGAGCGGATACAGAAACAGTTTATACACTCTGTCTCATCTACAGTACAGAATTATTGACAGGGCACGTGTTAGTGATTAAAGGGTGGGTTCACCCAAGTCACAAATAAACCATTTTTAAATGAATTATAGTAGTTCCTTTCAAAACTGATGACACTAGGAATGTAAAAATATATTGCAAGACAGTTAAATCGCGAAAAAAAACTAGTGAGAGAATCATATTGTGAACGCAGTACCATGAATTATATCGAATTGTATGTTGAGTGTACATCCCTAAAGGACACTAATCCTGGAAAGACACACTGTTACTGAATTTTTGAACGCTGAAATGCAATTTTTCAAAAATTTTCGAAAAATTGCATTCCATTCAATTTCATTGTACTGTCTCAGAGACAGAAATCTCAAAAACTATCTGCATGGAAAGATACCACTTGAGGTAAGTAAGAAAATATGATTGTTTTTTCGTAATTTGGGTGAACTGCCCCTTTAGAAATTAATATGTTTCTATTTACATTAGGAGGTGATGGATATTCAACCGTATAATGCAAGAAGACAAATGATAGCAGTGATGATAGCAAGATGAACTACACATGCACATGCACATACACACACAGACACACACAAACACACACGTCTACATGGTGGTGCATGATGGATTGTGAAAATGTGAAAATGAACAATTTCTATCTCCTGTTGTCAACCAAGTATCTGTTGACTATCATCACACAAAAGCCAAGTACACGAAATTTAAAAAATATATAAAATCAACAGCAGGGGGCACACTGTTCATAGAAAAACAATTAATGACCTAAAGAGGTTTATTTTTTAAGGATGTGGCATCATTATATTGAGAAATAAAACCCCAAGAATCTTATACTTGTCTGCAAAATGACTGCAGCCACAACTCCACTGCAACAGAGTGACACCTGCCGACTTTTGAATTCCAGTGTAATAGTCCACGCTTTTATCCATTACAGCACCATGAGTGTAAACATTGATAGCGTGTGCGGCCCCAGAGGGATTCAAACCAGAAATCCTTTCACGTCAACGCTTCATTTCAACCCCCTCTTTTCACCGAGGCTCCTCTTTCTTCTCTCCTGCAGCCTATAACTCTATCAGAGCCGGCAGTGCTAGAGCTGCAGTTTCCATAACACACTGTAACCTCCTCATCAACACATGGCCCGGAGGAGGCCGGCTCTGAATGACGCCGAACAGAGCGGGAGAAAGAGGGGAAGGTCTGAATCGGCGCTATAGGCAGATGGACCACATGGCGGATTCAAAGCTGAGCTCAACGAACCTTATTTGTGATGCTTAATTGATTTGGCAGCAGATCATCTCTTTCAAAAAGGGGAATTTTGAGTGGAAACTAGTTATTTAGCCAACAGGCCTTGATATTGAGAGGGAGGGGATTGTGCCTGTTCAACTGTTTACTGTAAGCTGACTTGGCTTCCTAAGCTTTGCCATAAGGGGCTCTTGTCACTTTGTGATAATAGCAAGCTATTGTATGAGAATCAAATTGAATCTTTCACCATACTGAGCGATTCAAAAAGTTTGTGCTGAGGAGGAGGAGTGTGGCTGCGAGGGGAATTCAGTTTGGACAGAATGGATGAAGGGTGAAATGGGAAGTGGTCTTTAGAAATGGAGACTCATGAAGACTCGCCGGGCTGCAGGGGACAGCCAGCATGCACTAACATGCACGTGCACACAAACACACCTTGCATGGTAGCCAGGGGATTGCTGCCAATGAGGGCCTGGTTCATCCCTGTGCTTACTCCCATCATTGTGTTCCTGAAATGTGGATGTACCGAAAATTCACACACACACACACACACACACACACACACACACACACACACACACACACACACACACACGAACATTCACACATGTAGAGAAACAGTTGGCTTAGGTTAAGTGATTTAAACCCAATGTACTTGAAGGATTCAGTTTCATCTGTACTGTGAATGTGTAACTGAGGCCCCAGCAGCTTCTTGTATTTTTGAGGAGCACCTCACGTTTTCTAACAAAACCACAAGCCTTAGCCTTGTCTCTGTGTGTGAACATGCAGAATTGCTGTCAAACTGGTGTAACAGCAGTCTGACATACCTTCAGCGAAACGCTATAGATTTCTCTGCAACATGCAGCAACGTATGTATCAGGCGATGTCAAGCTTAAACATAGAGGGTCTATAAACGTCATCAACTTAAATAACACATCCGTAAAAAGAGAATTTTTCAAACATGTTTCTCTTTTTTTTTATCAAGAGCTGTAACTAATGATTAATTTATTATCAATACACTGTCTTTTAGATTAATTTCTTAAGAAGAAAGAATCTAACATAAGGCATAATGTATTCAAATTTCTGGATCCAGTTCAAAAACCAAATATATTTATTTTACAATGATACAAACAATGAAAGCAGAAAATTCTGACATCTGTGGCGCCGGAACTGGAAATGTGTTTGATAGATTTACTTTTGCTTCAGTGACTTAAAAGACTAACACATGGACAAATTTTCTGTTGATCTACTAATTGTTTCTGCTTTACTTACAGTCATCTTGTTACTCTAGTGGCAAAAATGAGACGAGCATACTTTAAAGAACAGGTGTATTGCTGACTGTTGAGGCTCTTGATGTATGATGGACAAAAACTGCATTGACTGAAGCTAAAGTAAAGTTTTTATTTCTTTAGATTTAGCGCTACATTAACACTCACCCGGTGCTGAGCCCATGGACCCCGAGGCTGGATGGGGCGGGGCTGGCTGTGCTATGAGGGGGCGGGGTCACAGCAGAAGAGGTGGAGCCTACTGCAGCCGAGCTGACGGGAGTCATGGGGCAGGATGCTGAAGGTGATGAACTGGCGGCTGAAGGGGAAGAGAAGAAGAGTGGTGTTGATGCCATATTGCGGGTTTGTTTGTCACTGTACGGATGAGTTACAGCGTTATTGCTAAATAAACATCAACAGTCAGGATCCTCAAATTTTTGAGCGTCTTCTTTAACTCCACTCAACTACAGACTGGAGAGAGAAGTTTTGCGACTGGAAAGTATTAGCCTCGGCTCAACAGGCCAATAAATTTCCAGCTGTGTTTGTTACCTGTCAGGCCATCTGTCATATCTGTGAAGCCTGGGATAACTCACACTGTAACCAAGGTCTATAAATCATGAGTCATGACTCATGGAGGTAAACAACTCAAGATGGGACCAGTGCTTCCATGTTGTTGTCAACAAAACATCATTGTTTTCTATTTCAATCTTTCTCTCACAGAAATCATTTTTTTAAGTGATGATTCTTCCGTGTTTCATCAAACCGGCGAAAGGCTCCGACAATACAGAAATATCAACTTTTTCCAAATAACGTCAGGACCAGTTTAATCTTCCTGTGACCGACCTCAGGGTTCCAAAAACACTACTGAGAAGCTAACCTTTAATTATTTATTGATAAGACTCTACACAGGCACAAACAGTAATTACAGCTCACCTGTTGTGCTGAGGCTGGTGGTGACCTGGGACAGACCATGACTCGATATCTGGAGAGGGAGAGAAGGAAAGAGAAATCAGGAAATAGTTCCGTCCGTCTGTGAAACAAATATCAGGCCAACTTCTGAAGTGACACAAAAAAGTGGTTCAGTAGAAAAGGGTTAGTGGACTGTACCATGTGCGGGCTGTAGCAGGAGGCTTTGTGCGTCACAACAGGCGAGGTCTGGCTGGGCAGGGGAGGGGTGGTGCTGCTGGAGGGGTTGATACGTTTCTCTTTCTGCCTGCGGTTGCAGAACCAAACACGAATCACCTCCTTCTCCATGTTGAGCTGCTCCGCCATGAGCAGGATTTCCTCCGAGGTAGGCTTCTGGTTCTGAGGAGGAAAACATCAGACTGATTAGTAAATAGACGGATGAGTAGATACTGAAACCAATGTAGCTTCAGGTAAAGATGTTGAGTTATCTAAAACAGTTGGAGAGAAAGTCCAAGAAAGCACATATACAGCAAGCATTAAAATGCTACAAACAACTTGATATGATAACCTGCATCATCGATTTAATACTTATTTTTCAGAAATGTAATATTTGTTTTCATTATCACATTTATTATTCACAAAAATCAGATCATAAATCTGCTACCAGATAAATCTGTAGATTTCAAGATCTGCAATAAATGCCAAACCTTTCAGCTAGAAATTCAAAATGAGTTTTTTTTTATACTTGGTAAATAAGTCAATCTTTTACCGCGTTGAAGTTGCGCTCTAAAGCCACTCGCACGTTGGTCTCGATGCTAGTGCGCTTCTTTCTGCGTCGGCCAGGTAGACCCTCAAGACCCAACATGGGGGAGGAGAGAGAAGATGGGCTGGGCAGCATGCTGTCCACTGCCATGGTTTCTGACAGAACGAGAGAGGTAGAGAGAGAAATAATAGAAAAGGAGGCAGAGACATGAAGACACGCAGGCCAACACATAGAAAAACAGTGGAGATAACAATGGTTTGCTTTAGTAGTACTGTTGTTGACGTACAGTATACAAAACAATACAAATACTAATTACCTGTTAAAATGTTTTGTCAGTAACCTAATCTTAGTATCACAACATTAAAGTAAAGATGAATTATTCTATAAGACAACAGAACAATGCAAGAAAAGAAAATGGAAACGAAGATTTGTCCTCTGCTCAGTGTATTTTTAAAGAAAAACTTATACTTATATATAGGCAGTAGCCTATAGACCATTTTCACAGCTGAAAGGCAGTCATATTTTTATTTTGTGCTGAGACTTCTCCATCAAAGATGTCTGCTCCTTATGGGTCATATCTAAAAATGTTAAAGTCATACAAAATGAATAACTGCAGGGAACAAACTCTTCTTTTCTGATGTTGCTTTTTAGAAACAACTCCAGCTTGTTTCAGATCAAATAAATGACAGACGTGTGTCAACCAGCTTAAGGACACCTGCTCTGATAGGGTTCAGATGGTTTCAGATGTTTACCTGCATCACTCAGCCACTTCTCCAGCAGTGGTTTCAGCTTGCACATGTTCTTGAAGCTCAGGTTGAGCGCTTCAAATCGGGAGATGGTGGTCTGGCTGAAGTCGTTGCCGTACAGTTTGCCCATAGCCACGCCGACGTCTCCCTGACAGAGACAGATAAACAGTGTCAGATATGAAACTGAGACTCACACACACACACACACACACACACACACACACACACACACACACACACACACACACACACTCATGTCCTCCTTCTTTTTATGTCTTTTACCTGGGTGAATCCCAGCTTGATGCGTCGTTGTTTGAAGGTGCGTGCAAACTGCTCCAGCTCCTCCAGGTCGCTGGGCTCTTCCCCCATGTGACCCCCGTGACCCCCGTGACCTCCAGAAGTCAAGCCGGACGTCATCGAGGAAGCCATGGCACTGCTGGACGCCGAGGTGGATCCCACAGACGTCACAACGCCACTGCTGCCAGTGGCGACTATAGAGCCGCCGCCGCTGCTTCCACCGACAACAACATCACCGCTCTTCTCCCTCTGTGGTGTCAGGAAGACGGAGAAGTAAATAAACAAAACATATATAAAAAAATATATCATATTTTATGTATAGAGATTGAGCCTGTGAGCCTTTAGAAATGAAATGAATAAACTCTGCATGTGCTGGTACTATGGTCTGCTGTTAAATTATACGGAGCTGTTAAGGTTTTGAAAAACATTCTCTGAAAAGAATGTCTTTTTCACTTTCCAGGAATTGAAATAAACTGGTCAGTGAATACATATGAGGTAATCAACTGGGAAACATGCATAAAAAGCTATAATTTGACCCTGGGTGCCTTAACAAATTATACAGATTTGACAGGCATCATGCAACATGCCCGTCTCTTATTCTAAACGGGGAAAAAAATACTATGATTTTAATATCTGGAAATAGAGTTTAACCTCAGCCTGCCACTAGGTCAGCTGGCAACAAGAAGACGTACGCGGTACGTCAAAGCAGGAATTTGACCCTACGAGCTTTGGGAGTATCAACTAAGTGACCAGACATCATGCAGGATATCTGCCGCTACACGCCTCATTTGCATTTATCGTCTCTGTGCATAAAATACATGAACAAGCAGGGAACAAGTGCCGTCTTGTTTGACATGACTTCATCACAGCTTAATGAAAAATCTATAACGGCCCTTGGGTGTGTGGGGATGCATTCATGCATTATGTTATTGAAGATAAAGGCTGAGGAAACAGGGTGAGCTGTTTGACTTGAGAGTGAATATATCATCAAGATTCAAGATCCTCAGAAACTGCATCTTCTTTTTTGTGGAATATATTTTGTATTCAGCTACATTGACCTTTTCCTTTTGGCGAAACAGATTGTTGCAACAGAGATCAGCCATTTGTTTAAAATATAAAGTGACTTTGCTGCATGTGTCTGATAAAGGAAAACACAACCTGAAAGACAATCAAGTGTTTTTTGCATTCTGCAGGTGGGTTGCTGCATATGATGACTGATAGTGGTGAATGTCAGTATTACAGACGCACTGTGGTGCAGAGATTCAGTATCTGTTTGATTTGCCTGAAAAATAGTTAAAGTCTATAATTTCCCCTTCACAAGTTATCTCTCTTTCTTTCTCTCTGTCCCACTCTCACTCTCACACACACGCCCACACAAAGGAGTTTTCTACCTGTGCTTGGAGTCCCAGGCGAGGTGGACTTGTCAGTAGTCCTCCTGGGCTTTGCTGAGGTAGCTGGATCAGATTTGGTGTCGAGAGCAAACCTGTAAAGCAAACAATCAACCAGCCAGTCAATTAAATGATCAAATTAATTAACCGGTGAAGCTACTGGGTAGACTTTTTACGTAACTGTATTTTATTAAGTGTGCATTTTATTTCAATCATAAGAACTGAAGACCACGAGTTGCCCTCACCCTGCTGCGGCTGCTGTGCCTGTGCTGGCTGAGACAGGAGGAACTGGGCAGGAGACTGGAGTGGGTGACCCGGCATCAAAACCAGCTGCTGGAGCTGCAACAGCTGCTGGATGTCCTGCAACAAAAAACGCAAACATGGTTCAATATACAGCACAAATAAACTAAAGGTAATCACTGCCGCCTAGTGACAAACTAACAGTTAATTCATTGATTAATAAAGTGATGGCCAAAGATTGGAAGTTGAAGTTTAAAGTGTCAAAAGTACAACTAAACATGCTTTACTCACTGTTACAAAAGTCACTGTGACTGATACTCAAAGTCTTGGCTGTTCATACCTGGGCTGTGAGCTGGATTGGCTGCGACAGGGCCAGCTGCGGTGGAGGCGGGGCTTGCTCCTGTTTGGTTGACTGTTGCTGCTGCTGCTGTTGCTGCTGGGATTGTGATTGGTTCTGCTGCTGCTGCTGTTGCTGTTGCTGGTTGGCTTGTTGCTGCGCGGCGGCGTGGGCAGCGTGAGCGGCATGGGCAGCGTGGGCAGCGTTCGACTGCTGAACGGCGGCTGCCAGTAGCTGAGCCTGAGCCTGTTGGAGGAGCAGCTGCTGCTGAGCCGGGAGGAGAGCGGCAAGCTGGGGTAGAGGAGTAAGGAGGAGGAGGAGGAGTGGGGCAATGGCAATGAGGAGAGAGAGAAATGAGGACAGCGATGGCAAATGAGATGAAGATGTAAATGTGCAGAAAGGGCAAGAAAGGGGATGAAAGGAGAGTTGAAGGACAAATCCAAGAATGACAGAAAAGAAGGACGAGAGAATGAGGAAGGTAGAATAAAATGCAGACAAAAGTGGAGACGAGTTTGGAGAGAGAACAAAGTACAGTGTCAGCTAAGCATTCCAGGAGTCGTAGGTGAATCTGTTAGCAGACAGTAAAAGCATGCCAGAGCAAGACAAGCAAGAAAAGCCACCTATTTAACTTACAGCACATTAAGCTTGGGTATTTCACGTCTCTGAAAGTGCCTTAGAAGACTGTACTACAAGTTGTGCAAGTGTTCTCATGTCCTTGAGGGCAGTTATGCACTTAAATTGAATATTTTTCTTGTGTACTAGTGCATGACAGTTGTCACGTTACTCTGAACTGAAAGGCATGTTCACACAAAGGCATGTATGGAGCTTCATCTGACTTTGGTTCATTTTACCACATATGAGCGAAGCGTAATTGTGGATACGAACTGAAATGACCACAAATGATCAGATTTTAGACACAGACGTGGACATCTTGTAGCTAGCAGTTCATCATTTTTAAAAATCCTAGAGCAGTAAAATGAGCTGAGTGCAAACAGAAATCTGGAGTCCACCACGCTGTGCTAAAAATTCAAGTAGAAGTCATCAAAACTGTCTGTCAAATAAACAATGTGGCTACATGCATCTTTTGTTTAAAAGCCGTGCTTCACTTGTAATTGAGCAGAGTGAACAGAAACTTTTCATCACTTTAGATCAAAGAAAAAGTGCCTCATTATGACACTCGATGTTTAAGAGATCAAAAGACAGAAATGTGCTCACCCTGGATCGTAGGTTATAACATTTTGCAGTTCCCTGTATGCTGTGCTCAGTACTCAGTGTTTCCATATATAGTCTAGAAGAGACTTGAATCAGACTTGTTTCTAAACTCAATTCACTCTGTGTGTGTGTGTTAACTCACCCCTGCTAGTTGACTACCAGCCAGCATCAGCTGTGTGTGGTGGTGTTGGGCCTGCTGCTGCTGCTGCTGCTGCTGCTGTTGCTGCTGCTGTTGCTGCTGCTGCTGCTGCTGCTGCTGCTGCTGCTGCTGCTGTTGTTGCTGTTGGGAGGGAGGTGCAGGATGAGCAATGGTGATATGGGTCATCTCAGAGCTCTCCTCACTCTTTGCCTGAAGTAGATCACAAAGGTAAATTTCCTGTTAGCAACCAAAGGTTTTCTAACGTCATACTCAGCGCAGAATCTCTAAACTGCTGTTAAATGCGACGCTGCAAGAAAATCTCTGTTTGATTACAGACTCCAGATGGCCGAGTTTGAAAATCACGGGGTTAACCATGAAATATATTATTGTGTTATAGTCCTTGTGTGCAATCCCCTGGTAAATGATTCATCTTATAAATGTGAAAACCCAACTAATTGTGTGACTGTGTTGTAGCGAGAGGCAGCGAACGTAAGAGGCTGCATTCTACGTAATTGTAAGGAAATGTCAATCAACTTGTGCACACACTTCAGTGATCAAAGCCAGTGCAAGACATTATATTTTTGTAGCCATTTTGGACCTGCAAACGTACCACTTTAGACTTAATTTCAAGTTTCTGCATTTTGCTTTCTCATACATAATTATGAGTGCTGCAAAGCGTGAGTGATAAACCAGTTGGAGCCATGGAACAGGTTCGTCAGAATGCAGAAGACAAACCACACTGTCATTAGTACTCCTTTGTTTGACTTTGACTTGAACTTGAATCCCCCTCTACTGCTGCTTACACAGATTCCCAGGTACAAGTGTTTACCGGTCATCTGTCCAGAAGGATGAGTCAATCGTCCTCGTTTTCATGGTGTCAGAAACATTCCAAAGCAGCTGACCTCTGACCTCTAGCTGTCGTTACCTGCTCACAGACCTGTCATTACCCATCCATCACCTCTGCGCTGTGCTACATCTTTACATCTATCACTCACTGTCACCTCATTCACATCCTTTTTTTCTTCCTGCATTTTGTCTCAGAGATCTTTGTTTGTCAGTAAGTTGGGTGGGGACAAAGTCACGGGAATAAACGTATTCAGTGTGGCCTACGCACGTTGGTCACTGAAATCATGGCCACAAACACTTAATCACACCTAGAGCTGCAACATTTAGTTGATTCATTGATAAGTTGTTAATTATCAAATGAATCGCCAACTATTTTGATAATTGATTATTTGTTTTGAGTCCATTTTAAAGAAATACTGTCCAAATTCTCTGATTTCAGATTCTCAAATGTCAATATTTTAGTCCTCTATGTCAGTAAACTGAATATCTTTGGGTTGTGGACAAAATAAGACATTCAGCTTTGGGAAAGAGTGATCAACATCTTTCATAATTTTTCTTACATTTTATGGATCAAACAACTAATCAGTTAATTGAGAATATGATTGACAGACTTATCTTTGAAAAAATGAATCATTAGTTGCAGCCCTAATCACATCTGTGTATGCAAGGATGTACACAAACTGGATATAAAAATAATTACTGTTCATAGTCACACATGTAACCGTTTGACTGGTACAGGTTTTCGGCATTGAAGCTGCTGACTGACAATATTCATGGGAGGTTATAACACACACACACACACACACACACACACACACACACACACACACACACACTGCATGTCTGAAGTGGCTCACCTTGGTGCCAGCCGGTGTGGGAGAGAGGCTGAAGGGGCTGGTTTTCATTGGCTGGACCTGCAGCAAAACACGCACGGTATGAAAGATGAAATCACACACACACACACACACACACACATCATCAGATGATAGATTCCAATGAAACGCGGCCCTGAAATCTGTGCCAAGATGTTCACAGTGAATCACAGTTACAGTTGTTCTCACTCTATAGCTGATTGGACAGAGGGGTGGAGTTTAAATGAGCTGATGTTGCAATTAGTCATTTAAACGTCAATAACAAACAGAAGACAGCATCAAGTCGACAAAATAACTGTTGAGACATGTGGATAGATTTCACAAAGATTCTGTGAGGGAAGTTGCTCAAAATGAAATAAAAAGATAAGTTTTTCCCAAAACAATGCTACTCTACGAGAAGGGCTCTATCAAACAGTCTCATTACATAGCTATTCTTTTATATTGATAATCATGTAGGATGATTTAAAGGGCAAAGTGTTTACTACCCACTAAATAGCAACCCACACTAATAAGTAACATTAAATGTTATTCTTTTTGATAACGATATTGTTCATATATTTACTGCACTGTAATAATTTAATATTTCAATCAAAAAATGATTTAAAACAAAAAGCAAAGTTTTTAAATAGAGTGCCACATTTATTATATTAAGAATGACTACAGCTAAAGTAAATACAATAAAACCTTTAGTGTTATTAGCATCAGTGTTAAGAATAAAAGTAAAACACCAACCTGGTCATCAGGGCTGTTTCTGTCAGAGTCTGAAACAAAGAGAGACCACGTATCAAACAGTGTGTGTGTGTGTGTGTGTGTGTGTTTTCAGTGGGTTGAATAAATTGTACAATTGTGGTGACTTAAAGGATGTAACATTCACTCAAGAGAGAAAAGTGCTCTCAATCACAAAAGAATTCACCTTTTTTGATTCTAAAACGGTTCATATAATTAAAATATGTAAACATGTAAATATTATTCATATCATGAAATATGTATTTGTGTGTACCTGAACTGTCCCCTGGATAGTCAGCCCCAGGCTTCTCCTCCTCTGCTGCTTTAGACATCCTGATATCTGCAAGAAACACACACACACACACACGCAGATTAGAAAGGGGCATGAAAAACACAAAGAGGTACATAAGATTATGCAACATGCTTAGAAAAGAAGAGCGTTGTTGGCTCAAATTCCAGGCCGATGGAGGAAAAACACACATTTAACAACTACCGTCAAGGTGCCCTTAAAAGATCTGACAACCACACTGTATGTCACGAGCAGACGACTGAGGACACGCTGTGAGACACACACACACACACACACACACACACACACACACACACACTAATGCTGATAAATCTGACAGAGGCTGAATCATTTTATCACAAAAAAGCAGTGAAAGTGTTTATTGTGTTACTGAGAAATTAAGAATATTGAGTACAATGCAAATAGGGAAATAACGTATATTTTTAAACTTATTATTTGTTCATTTCCATATTTGCAACTATTATGAGCATTGTAATGATCATAAGTTAGATATTAATGTTTCAAATGCATTAATTTAATATTTAATAATTTCATATTCAAATGGTAGGAAATTCCTTTTTTTTAACTAGTTTTAGAAAAGAAACCTGGAGTCTAACCACAGCTATTTTACAACTTGTATTTTTCAAGGAGAATCTCTTGAAATACGAATTTTAACATTTTAGTCAAATTATTGTGTGAAAAGAAAATTTATAAAACCACATATTTTCAGCAGAGACCTTAGATGAAACTAAAGAAATAGACACACACACACACACAAACTCTTTTCTTTCGTTGCACTCATTGCCATCCCTCCTGCTCTGCTGCTCATTCTCTTTCACCATTCACACGTACAAAACAAGGGTACAAACAATCACTGCTTTTTGAACGAGAGGTCAGTCCCACAGTGCTTGTACTTGACCTTTTGCAGGTCAAAGTTCAACCGAGATCATTGGTGTCAGGAGGCATTCAAATTCAAAAGAAGAGGGAACAAATTACAACTGCAACAGATAATTTCAAGAAATCCTCCCGAGTAGCTGTATCTTTGACATCAAGAAGTGGAAATAGAACGATATTGATATTGTTCTGTGACAACCTTTTACTCCAGTATTGATGATGAAACCCTTTGAGGGCTTTGCTGGATAAAATCAGAGATACATCACTGTCAAGATAAAACCATTCTTAGCTCCTAAAAAGTTCAGGTTTGGAAGGTGCAGTTCAGTTTTTTACTCTGCAGTGATGATGTGGGACTTTTAAAAATGGCTCCTGCTGATAATTTCATCCTGTTTTCATTAAATATGACCTACAAACAACCAAGAGAAAACCCTGCTAAGCAAAAACGTATCTGACCCAAGAAAACTGATGATATTGTGCTCTAATTTAGTTCTTTAAATGTAAACTTTATTGACTCAGGCGTGGAACTGGGATTAAGGATCAGCTATTCATGGCAGATATCTTAACTACCCTCTTCTGTTTGCGGTGACTTCTGGGATTGCAGAAGTAATTGGTCCAGGAACGACGACGCCAGAGGAACTGCTTACCTGAGCACCAGACATTACTCAGCACCACCGCCGCTGCCGCCATCTTGGATAAAACACTCCTTCACCTCCTGCACTAGGCTCTTAACTTGTGTCTGTCTTGTGCTTTTATAACCCGTTTTCCCTCTTCAGCTCAAGACTTTTGCAAGAAACTGCCCGTCTATGGCACCAGCTTTGATTTGAGCTCTGTGTGATTTAGTGCACGCGGCAGGAGGTTCATGTGTCTGATAGTATCTGATAGAACCACAGCTAACATCCTCAAGCCTGCCCTTCTTCTTCTTCATCCTTGCTATAATTATAACTTCAGCTTCTGTCCTGCTGCTTCACTGCCTCCTTTACATCCTATGGAGCGCACACACTCACACACACACACACACACACACACACGGAAAGCCCACATTTTGTGTATGATCATGTAAGACAAGGAAAGAATGAATACTTGAAAACAAAAGAAGAGAAAGGCTTATTGGAAATTATATATTAGCTCAGTGTGAGAGTGTGTGTGTGTTTGTGTAATCTTATCATCAGGGTCACAGACAAGTTCAAGGTGTGATGAGAGGAGGTGGAAAGAAAGGAAGGGGGGGCAGACAGAAAGAGACAAAGAGAAAGAGAGGTAAAAAGATGGAGTGATGTGAGGCTGCACTGAGAAAGATTTTTGAATCCAGAGCAAAATGGTGGAAAATCAAAATCACACACACTCCTTTACAACAATGCACATTAATGCCGACCTCAACCTGCATGGCGACTTCCTACCAAAATCTGCTACTAAAAAAGAGGTAAGAAGAGGTTTTGGTCAATCTTTCTTCTTTGGCATCTTGTGATGTTTTTATTCATTAGATTGTGTTAATGTGTTTTGAGCTAAATGTCAAAAGTTTTATCGTCCATCAAAGAACATGATAGAAGTTAATGTTTCTAGGTCAAAATGTGCTGTCTTAAATCAAAAATGCATTAACCGAAATCCACCGACAATATTGTGATGAAAGGGAAAATACATTTTATTCACAGTGTGCTCGGTTAGTGGGAGGATGCAGTTGCAGATCACAACCAGATGGTGGCAGCACGCACCTTGGAAATGCTGAGCCGGGGCTGTGTGTGTGTGTGTGTGTGTGTGTGTGTGTGTGTGCTGTACCAAGCATCATAAACACAGTAATGAGTCATCTGAATCCTTTCAGTTTAAAAATAATCTTCTGGAAAAGTGCAAAAGTCTACAGTCACAGGTACACTGGGAAATAAACTAAGAGCCTGAAACTGGAATAAAATTCTCTAAATGTGTGATGTAAAGATGCAGAAACATTTTAAATACACATTTTAAAGTTGAATCAACTATATCAGATCTTAGTTCAGCTCAGTTACAAACACAATTTACTTTTGTGGCTTTCAGCAACAAATCACCTTCTTTATTAGGTCATTACCTCCTATCATAGCTTCTCTCTCTCTACACACACACACACACACACACACACACACACACACACACACACACACACACACACACACCTGGATGTTGTTAATCAGATGTACTGTATTTATATTATTACAAATCAGTGATACTGGTAGCACCAACATAGAGCTACTGTCACTAGTACTGCTGCTGTTAGGTTGTAACAGTAGTGACACAGTGCTGATACTACTCGACTCTTAGAATTGTTAGTGCTATCACTGATACCAGTGCAACACTATCTAAATATACAGTTTAGTAAAATGCTGCATCCATTTCATTCAAACATGGGATTAAATGTAACACACACACACACACACTTATTATTCCAGGCTCCTTCACCCTCTCAGCATATGAAGGGAGGGACACCATAAAATCATTTTATCATCCCACTACCCCCCCCCTTTTCATCTCTCTCACCCCATAACGCCTCAACTGCCCCTAACCCCTCTGGCCATGGGGGCCTTTCAACCCCCACCCCCCTATCCATCCAGACCACCTCATATATGCTAACAAATCAAACACACCAAACCCCAAATGTCACAGATGTCCACACATGAGGTTTTTTTTTATTTTTTCTGATCAGGTTTTAGACCAATTTACGTTTTTTTCTAATACGTTACATACACGTCTCTGCATCTACACATTCCCTCACAATAAACCTCCGCTGTCTCCTGAATGTCGCAGAAAACATCACTGCGACCTCGCAACTCTTCGATTGTGACCACTTCTATATTGTGAACTGTTTTAGTGTAAAAAATTACAGTGACCAGAGTCCAAACACACTCCTCCTTCCCAGGACGGATTGACTGCAGCCGCTTGGATACAAGGAAGACCCCCCCCCCTCTCCACTGCCGCGTCCTTACTCATCCTATCAGTGCTAATAGCATAGAGAGGAGAGAGAGAGAGAGAGAGAGAGAGAGAGAGAGAGAGGCCGCTGGGCAGATGATGTATCTGTCTTCTGGGGTTGACATGGCCAGCCTGCCTCTGTGTGTGTGTGTGTGTGTGTGTGTGTGTGTGTGTGGAGGGGGAAAAGGGGGGGTGCAGGGTCACTGTCAGGGAATTAGAAAAGGGGGGAATGAGTGAGAGAGAGGGGGGGGACAGAGGGGGATAGGGGATGGCTGGAGGGGTCCTAAACTTGCCCCCCCCCCTCCACCTCCTTTTTTGCCCACCCACCCCGCCTTGGTCACGCCTGTCAGGGGCTGGTGACAGACGGCGCGTGGGTCTCTGTGTGTGTGTTTCAGGAGGTGGGTGGGGGGGGGGGTTACCCGTGCTGTTTGGCGTGTGGATGTCAGAGGTCAGGCACATGGTCTCGGCCACCTCGTGCCTCGCAGTGACACACACACACACACACACACACACAAGCTGCCTGCCGCCTCCCTTTTCCACCTGTCCCCATTCACTCCTGAACAAACACACACGTCAACGAGAAAATCTGCAACCGCTGTAATGAGGAGATATTTCAAATCAGCTATGAATCAGAAACAAGACTAGAAAGGGTAAAAGCTGCAGTGAGATATTTATTACTTACCTAAACTCTAACACAGTTACACCCTAAAACAGAATCCCTGCTCTTTTCAACTTTTATCAGCTATCACAAGTAAAGATATTTATATTACTGATTAATCTACTGTTTATTTTCTATTACAATTTCCCACTCTTCAATTTTCTTCTTTTGTCCAACAGTTAAAAACCTTAAAAGACTTGTTTTTTACTGCAGCAAATCTCACAGAAGAGACACAAGAGAGAAGCTGAAACCAGAGAATATTTGGCCTTTTGCTTGAAAAATGACTGAAACGATTAATCAGTTATCAAAACGGTTGCCAGCTAATCTTCTGTCGATCGTTGCAGCTCTGATTATAAACAGGAACGGGAGAGACTTGAATCTGTGGGCCAAAAAGCTCCACAGCGATTACAGGATAAAACGATTTTGATTTTCCTTACTGTAAAACTTCAACAGCACTGGTTTGCACAGAAACTATATTTAGTCATACAATTATTGCAGCATGAGCTTTGAGAAGATATATCTGTGTCAAAATAAGAAAATAAGTATCAGTTATCAACTCTTTAACAGCAGG